TAACGATTATTATAAATGTTGGCAATCTCTTAAAAAGCATTTTGTTCTGAATTCCATAAATACATTATAATATATAAATATATTTTTTTTATATCTTATAAATTTCTAAATTTTATATATTTTCTTTCTTTTTAACCTCGCATTTTTATATTTTATATTTTATTATTTTCTTATATTATAAAAAAAGTAAAATAGTATATTTATAATTAATTTTAATTCTCTTTGTTTTTTTTTTCCTATATTTAATAATACATAGCTGGAGTATAATCATTAATAAACAAATTGTTTATATATATTCGTTCTCATATTCATTATTTAACTTCTTTTTGTGTCTTTTTGTTTTTCTTATCAATTTAATTTTTACAATGATTTTATATAAATTGATATTTATTGTGTTGAAATATGTGATTTTGCACTTTTCTTCGATAGAGTGCGCTTAAGGGTAAATACGTAGCGATACGCGTTTACGCTTTTTTTGTGCAAGAGTTCGCATGAAGAAATTTAATTTATTACAAATAAATGTGATGTTCTATCATCGCAAGATTCAAAGATCAATTAATCGTTAATGTTGGGTATAACGTAAATATGTTAATTTTGATAAAATTTTTCAATAGTTGTGGTTAACTCATAATTCTAACCTTACAATGCGGAAACTCATCAATTTTGCGATGCTTCTTTGTTACTTCACTAGAAATGTCGCAGCTTCGTATTGTTATCCAGATTATTGTCAAAATGTGGTAATTTTTAGTACTTCTTTTATTTTACATTTAACTCTTTACTTTTGTTCAAATGCTCTGCGCAATTGATTGTTTGAATTTTTAAATATTTATTCAGATTATTTTCATTGCAGAAAGTTAATATTTATATTTATTATTCCTAAATCATCTGTTTTATTTTTTACAGACAAAAGTAGTTGCTATTCCTGGTTTCCAATGTTTATTGACGAAAGTTCAAAAAGGTGGAGGTATGATGAGTTCATTAAATGCATAAATGTGATTATTTATATAGTGTAATTTTAATGTAAAAAATAGAAATTAGATATGTGAATTATTTATTTTTTTTTTAATAGATTGCACCAAATTCACATTTGAAGGCTACAATCATTATCCACCAAATGAAGACACAACTAAATTTAATTTACATGCATATATATATAAAGAGTTTGGAAATAGAGTAACAGCTTTCAATTTAAGCATTACCAATGCAACTTTTCATGGTAATAAGTTTAGATGATTAGATGATTCTTTTAATCACTTGAACTTCTTTTCTATTAAATAGGACTGATAATACGTTATCAAAGTTTATTGAATGAAAATGAGTCTGCCTGTAGATATATACAACTTTATGGAAATGAAACTCTTCCGGCTCCAAAGGATCTATACATTTCTTGTCCATTTTCTAATGAATCTTATGAATCTATTCCATATCAATTAGATTATCTTGTAACAGGAGAAAGATATAAGTATAGTAAACGATATATTTTCAATGTACCTGCACATAAATTTATTGGTAAATATTTAAAGCAAATTTTTTTTATGAAATGAAAATCAGCATTATGTTTTGAGTAATCATTTTTTTAAATCTATCTTATATCTATATTACAGAAGAAAATGCAAGTATAAAGCAATACAGACCATTTGTATATATAGATGTATCGAATGCTCCCCTTCTTTCTTTACATATTCAACCACTACCAGAAAGTTATAATATAACTGGATATAAAATTTGGTTAATAAACAATGATACAGATTTTATAAAAACATTCAATGTAACAAGAAAACAAGACTTACAATATAATTTTACTGCGCATATTGGTCACTTTTATTTTAAAGTTGCTTGCATGCATTTGGAATGCGGCGATTATGGATGCGTAAATAGTACTACGCCCTTTATTATTATACGTAAGCAAACAAATCTTGTCTATGAAAAATAATATAATATAATGAAATTTTAATTTTTTAATTAAAGAACAGCAATATTGTTAAGCGTTGCTAATTCTTATATTTTCTAGCAACATCTTCACCTCGTCTTTTGATCATGATTATCAGTGCTGTATGGATACCAGCATTATCATTTTGTGTACTTTATCATCTTTATAGATTATATAGAAGGGGTAAAATTTTAATATATTTAAAATTTTTGTATAAATATTGTTAGAGTAATTAAGTTATATATTTCTTTAAATTTTTATAGAAATATTGAGAAAAAAGGAAAAACCGAAATGTTTGTTAGTATATTCACCGACTCGGTTATCGCATGTTAACGTAATGGTTGAATTGGCAAAATATTTAAGAATTTGTGACATTAATGCCATGATAGATGTGCTCGATATTACGGATACTATGGATAAAGTTAGTAGTTGTAAACCAGTAACCCATTCCATTCAAAATAAAGTACTACTTCTGCAAAAAAATTTATTTCACGATTTATTATGATTGTAATATAGGATCCAGAATGTTGGTGCGATGCTGCGCTTCGAAACACAGAATTCATTATTGTTGCAACTTCTCCACCATCTAAAAAACCTGCTTTATCGACTATTTATGAAAATACCAGTAATTATCTTTTGAGATTGGTCAGAGAAAGAAAATTTCAAATTGAAAAGCGTTGCTATATCGTACAATTACCGTATTGTAAATCGGATGACATTCCTGAAGAAACAAAGCATTTAAAAAGATTTTCTTTGCCAAAAGAATTATCTAAACTCGTAAAAATAATTCATGCAACGGAACGTGTAAAGTGTGCTTCTTCGGTATCTGACAGGAAATTTTTGGATTCTGTGAAATTAGCAAAACTCGAAACATTGGAAGAAGATGTAAACAGTGTGAAAGATGGACAAGAAACTGGTCAGTTAGGTTTTCAATTGTTTGCTTTAAATGTGATTTCATATATTGATTTCATTTATTCATGTTTTAGAAAATCTTTTAGAAACTACAGAAATGTCAAATAATCGAACTCTTGCACCAGCTATATCAAATGATAACACTATGTTTGTAACGAATATCGATGAATTAAATTTACTCGGCGAGAATGGAGAGGGTGAGCAAGAAGAACACATTAATAAATCTTTAAAGGATGATACTTGCGTGTTTCGTATCGATAAATTGAATTTGTGATTTTTTTACTCGTAATATTGTAAACAAATGTGACATTTATGTAGGTTAGATAATTTTAAAAGTATAAGACATTCTTTTTATACATATATTGATTTAATTTAATAAACGTTAGTTCTTTTTGTTACAATACAATTTCTTATATTCACTATGATTTGCATTTTATAATTTTCAATTTGTGTTGACGTACAAATGTTTTACATATTTTTTTGTGTGTTTACGTGCATTTGCACACATTTATCACGATATTAATGGACAATGATATAACAGTTATGTTCACACCGCACATGCTTGTACTAAGAACATATTCGATTTTTTGAAAGTAAATAAATATAATATATATATAAAAAGCAAGTATGTATACAGTATAACAATAACTAAATTTGTACTTGAACGCTTGCGTTATAAACGACAAGTGATAACTAATTGATATAATGAAATGGAATGCTCTATTTTATACATAAAGAAAAAAAATGCACATTTATTGCTTGAATATGATTACATCGATTAGCAACTAAAATAATTGAATTGATTACTTTTTGCACATTTGTCAAATTTTCGTTTCATGCATATTATTTCACTTAAAACAATTCATTTCAATTTTACAATGAATTATTTATTACAAGCTGGAAGCCATTAAAATGAACAATTCAATTGGAAGCTTAAAGTTTGATAGTTTTAGCAATTATTGTTATGGGTTTGTTTATTTTTTTGATGCTCAATTACGCAATTATCAATTATCGCGAAGTTATTCAAGAGTATTTAGGAAGTATTTAATCAGAAGTTAGTAGTCAATCTTTAAGGAATTGATGACCTTGTCGAATAGCTAATAAGAATCATTTATTTTGTTCGTATTTAATTTTTAATTATGTCAAGATCTAAATGATGAAACGTAGGAAAATTACTGATTTAATAATCGACGATTCTAATAGCTTCGAATATCTTCAAATATTTTAGAAAAGATTGATAAAAGAAGCTATAATTTAACTATAATTTTTAATATAACACAGAAGATATTTGAACATTTGTGCGAAAATGAAATGCAATATATTATATTTTTATATTTTCACATTTTTTTTTAATCTTTATCTTTTCAAATTATCAATCTATTTGGACTCTATAGTTTTTTTAATGTATATTTCTTTAGCGTCCAAATTATCGAAAATTGGCAAGATATGTTCTACGTATTAAATGTATTTTATGTCTTTTGAAAAAATGTGAAAATAAAAAAAAAACAAAAAAGAAGGCATATAAATATATGTCGAAGATTTCATTGTTTAAAAAAAATTTTTTTTCTTTTTTATTAATATTTATTTAATGATTTTATAAAATTCTCTGCTACTTAAACACAAATCCGAAGAATTATTTTGTCATTTTCGATTTTCAAAAACACTTTTGTAATTTTTATAAAAATTTGCAATTTTTAGCAAAAATGTATTATATTGATAAAAATATTATGTGAAAATTAAAAATATAAGAAATTTAAATTAGTCTTAAAAGATAGATGGAAGAAATAATTATAATTACAAATAATTATAATTATGAATTATTATTATCATATTCATAAAGCTTTCTTATAAAAATCTACTAATTCGAAACTTTTAACGTTTTTTTAATTTTTTCATAATTTATGTTTTTTGAAACTGAGGAAGATAAGACAATTTAGTTTCTGGATTCGTAAGATAAAAACTATATAAAAATAAATTATTATTATAAAACAGAATATGTATTAATAATATTTTTTATGCTTGCAAAAATTTTCACATTCTATTTCTTTAGATTTAATATAAGTATATACACAATCATTGTTAAAATAACATTGTTAAAACAATATTTTTTTCAAATGAAAAAATATGCTAGTTATCGTCTTAAAATCATTATTTTTTCATATTCGTTAGATTTTTTTGTGTAGAACATCTTCAGATTGACTTTCATCAATGTTATTTTCATTGGCAAAAACAAGTAATTCTTTCATTTCTGCTTCCTCTTCTGTTTTTGTTTTTATTTCTGTTTTTATCTCTGAGAATTTCTTACCTTCCATATCTATATAAGATTGCAAGTGTCCGTTCGTTGATGTGACTAAATCATTTTCGCTATTACTGGTTACGCTAGTATTTCTAAATTTGATAGGACTCTCATAATGATTAACTTGAAAATTCGATGACTGATCATTTATATATAATTTAACAGATTTTTCGGAAGAGGTCGCTAGAGATTCTTGCCAAAAAGTATGAAGCTTGTCAATCTTGTCACACTTAGTCACCGTATCAGAACAAGGTTTTTCTAAGTAGTTGACAACATCTGTCTTCAAACCATTGATTTCAGAATCTTCGGTAGCATCGTTACCAGAACCTATTTTAAAAAAACAATTCTAGAAAACAATTCTGAAAACAATAAAAATACTTTTCTTCATTGTTTGAGACAAGAAAGAAAATACGTACTACATGGACTATCCAAAGCATGAAGTGAAGCAAAATAAGCCTGATTGTCAACAGTTCTTGGATTCAAATCCAAATATTCAACGCTATCCTCTAACATTTTTTCCAAATGATTAGTAAGTTCCTTAAATGATGGCCTGATGACAGATTCTTGATGCCAACATGACATCATCAGTTTGTATCTAGAATTAAAGAAATTACTTATATAAACATATTGTTGAAAATTTTAATTATACATACCAAATAAAAACATTATTATACATATTTATAAATATTTAAAAACCTAAAGTATATAGAGTATTCGATTCTCATGTTAATTTGTATTTTATGTTCAAAATAAAAAAATATAAATACAAAACAAAGACATTCTGACAATCAATATTTTTGGCTTTATATAAACTACTTTTTAATCTTTTTGATTTCTTTTCTTTTCATTCATCTGCGTACATTTTTTTTATTTTTATCATATTGGTTATTTTGTCTAATCACTCGCATTTTCACATACATTCGTCATTCATGTCAATTTATACAATTTTATAATTATTTATTCTTGATATATACAATAAAAAGATAAAATCGTATTTTTTCATTAGCAATTGACTTACAACTGTAATGAACAATTTGTCGGTCTTTCCATACGGTATCCAGCTTTGAGTAAATTGTAGAGATTGTGTACGTCTACACCAGGATAAGGAGATGCACCTAAAGTAATCAATTCCCAAAGAAGAATACCAAAACTCCAAACATCTGATTTGCTAGTATATACATGATCCGCGAGAGATTCAGGTGCCATCCATTTTACCGGCACTGCAAAAACGTATACGAAATAGATAAACTATGATGTGATTTTTATTAATATTCGAATGTCCAAGATTTTATTATTGTGTAAAATGGCTAATTATCATGTTCAGTTAATTAAGATAATTAATTAATTTTTAAAAATTAAAAAAACAAACATGAAATAATTAAATTAAATTTTTAAAATAAAACGTAAATTTTTAATCTTTTTTTAAAGAAAATATATGAAAAATATTTGCTGAAAATATTTTATGAATTAGTGTAATTTATTGATTTTTGTTATAGAATAATGATTATTTAATCAAATTAATAAAAAGATTTCATTGTATTGAGATATATATATAAAGTTACTTAATTATATATGTTTAAGATAAAATTTAAATTTTTATTTATTTGTATAAATTATTATAATAATCTTTTTTTTATGATGTGCTAAATATTTATTGAAAATATTATTTCGTAACATAATTTAATTTTTTATGCATTTTATTATTTTATAAAAATGCTAAATTATAAATGCGATGTTAATTAGAGATTAATTAAATAGATAAGAGATAGAGCTAATTAAATAATAAGATCAATAATAAGATCATTGCATTATATTATAAAAAGTTATCTGAATAAAAAATACAATTAAATAATATAAAACAAAATTAGTGTAGATAAATAGAATAATTTATTATCGGAAATGTCTTAATAGACAAAGAAAAAAATTTTGTTTTATATTTAAATTAATATTTCTTTCATTTTTTAACTATTTGTCCAAAAAATTATAATGCATATAGATAAATAATTAATAATCATAATTCTTCACAAATTTTAATGTTAAATAAATTAAAAAGTATTGAAATAATTCAAAAATTTTCAAATTGTCATTAAATGAATTCTACTGATAAAACTTTACTTTTAAATAATAGTCTAGTATTAATAATAATAAATCCATAAAAACAAAATATTATCTTAAGAAAATCTATAATAAACATAAATAATGAACCATTAATTTATATATTAAATTTATGTGTTATTACACGAAGATAAAATTTTAGAAATTCCTTTGAAATAATTCATTAAAAAAAATGTATCTAAAAGTAATTGTATTGTGAAAGTTTATAAAAAAAAATTATTCAAAAAAAAAAAAATAAAAAAAAATAAATTAAAAATAGTATTCTAAATTAATTAATAATCTATTTCTGAAAAAGAGAATGTTAAAAAAAAAATATTAATATGTAGAGAATCATGATAAAAAATCATAAATGAGAAGAAGGAAAGAATAACTTTTATCAAGGAATTTATTTATAAAATATAAAACGTAATATTTAATAAAATAAAATAAAATTAATTTCAATTTTTTTTATCCAATAGATATAAAAATAATAAAGGATATGATAAACAAAAAGTCTCAAATTAAAACTTTAAAGTTGAATATGAAAAAGAATGATGGAAATTTAATGATTTCGTATTTCAATTGCAAATATGGATGAAATAGTTTTTATTGGTTTTATCGAAAATATTTATATCATAAATATTTTGATATCTTGAAATAAAGTATTATTTAAAAATATAATTAACACGTATATATAAAAATTAAAATATATAAAATTTTATCAAGAATATGATCAAGATATGATCAAAAATAAATTGAAGATTATATGAAAAAATATTTATTATATTTTTTTCAATTATAAGATTTAAATTTGATTAATAATTAATCTGTCTATAAAATAATGATCATAAATATAAAAGAATTAAAATCCATAAAAAAAAAAAAAATGAAAATACATAAGATTATTTAAAAAAAAATTATTTCTCAAATATTTAAACAGAAAAAAATTAGTAAAAAAAAAAATTATACAAAATATTAATATTTTTACAATATTGATAAAATATATCTCTTTTAAATTAATATATTTATTTGATATCAGATTTGATATTTTTGTAATATAAAATTTAATCATTTAGCTTATTGCTGATTATCTAAAAATATATTATATATATTAAATAAATAAAATATATATATTTTTAGCAATTTCCTATTTTTATCATATTCTTACAATTCTTACTCTTAATTTTTTTTAATATTTAATTCTTATTTTAATTCTTATCTCTTTTAATTTTTTTTAATATTTAAAAAAAACTTTAACAAATTTAAAAAAAAATTCATTTTGTTCATAGTATTTTGAACAAATATATCTTGTTAATTATAGTGTCTGATATTAATAAGAGTTATTGTAGATTAGATCATTAATTAATTATAAATTCTGCTTTTAAAATCGCTTGTGATAATTTACATTTTTTAGTAAATATAAACTATTTTTTTTAATTTTTCAAAAGCCATTATATAATTTTTCAAAGCCATTGTTATGACAAAATATAACAAAAAGTTGACATAAAATACATTGGCAAAAAATTAAATGAAAAATATTCATTGTAAGATAGTTGAAAATTATAATTTTTCTATATGATAATATCGACCGTATTCTGCCAAAACTATCAAGAAACTCTATAAATTAAACTAGAAAGTTTACTTTCGATCAGTATATTTTCCAGATATCATCAACTATCACTTATTTTATCCTGTGTAATATAGTTTGAAATATAGTATTTTTTAAAAAATCATATTAAAATGAAAAATTAAGACAATTTATTTTTAATAGCATTTAATAAAATTACATTCTCTTCAGATAAAGAATGAATAAATTTTCAATTTTATTTAAATTAATTATTTTAATTGAAAAAAATCTAATGGCATTATTTATAAATATTTCAAGTTAAAGAATTCGCAGAATTTAGATAATGACTTAATTAAATTTAAAAATTTAGTTGATCGAAATAATGTTCCGTAAAATTACTTTCTCACAAAATCCTGAGAATAATGGAGAAAAAAATTATGAAAGTTCATTTTGTGAATGAAGATCGATAAGAAAGATTGGCTAAATTGAAAACTATTTCGATGAAAAAACATACCTCGTCCTTTGCTACGTTTTAAATACGCATCATCTTCATAGACATCACGAGTTAATCCAAAATCAGAAATTTTACAAACTTTTTCCGCTGCGAGTAATACATTTCTGGCTGCGAGATCTCTATGAACCAACTACAAACTATTTAGATTAATCTCCATTTTCATTAATATATTAAATATAAAAATTAATTTGTTGCCTTTTTGAAGTAATGAGTTATAATTAATAACAAACATAGATATAGATATATTTATACTCTATATATATATATATAATCATATTATATATTATGTATTATAACTATATATATACTCATACACAATATAGATTAAATTAAAATGTGGTTAGAAAATATGTATACTAAATGATATGGTTAGAAAATATATATAATATTTTTTTTTTTGTAAAATATTTATTTCATTTAAGAATATTATATATACATATTTAAAAATTGGATTTCTTGCAAAGATTTTAATATATTTTGATGGAGATAGCTATCTTATAGTGAGAATTATTTGTTCTAGTGTAAAATTTTCAGTTATTCATTATTACTATCTGGAGATTTTAATTAAAATTCGAAAACCAAAAAAGTAATATTTATGAAATATTACGAAAATAAAATATTTATAAAAATTTTGTCTATGATAAAAAAATTTGAAATATTTCATAAAATATTAATTATAATATTGTTTTATTCACAATGGAATTAATTCATGCTAAATAAAAAAAAAACTATAAGATTCCATTAAAAATAGATGCATACTTAAATGAAAATGCACCGATGCATTTTTTTATTACATGATGATAACTTCTTAAATAATTTTCCTCTATACTTTTTTTTATTAAACTTATCTTCAATAGAAGAATTTTAATTTAATCCAATTATTATTATATGAATATAATTAATGATTCATTAAAAAAGATGCTGGTTTTGATGTAATTAAGTTCAATCACTAATTTTTCAGTAGATATTTGAGAAACATATTTTCCAAATGATTTTAAAATGATCTAAATAGATAATAAAATTAATTAAATAAAATTAGATAATTCGAAATTATATGAAATTAAATCGTATTTCTTATAAAATTCTTGTAAAATCATGAGTTATCATGAAATCTTTTAATCTTTTATTTTTTCTTTAAATAATCTTTTCGCATATCTAGATTAGATTATAACAATTTGTACTATACTATTCTGTTCATATCTTATTAAATGGAATATTTCAAACATTTAAATTGGCATTATAAGTGATATAAAGACATCAAATTAATTTCTACATCTATATAATATAATATGATTACTGCTACGAGATTACCTTAATATCGGCTAAATAGGCCATTCCTTTGCTAATCTGCCAAGCAAAGGAGAGGATATCGCGTGGCGTAACTGTATAAACGGATGTTCCATTTGTTTCACCAACAGTGACGTTAGATAAAGCCGAACATCCATCAGTTCTTGCCTCGGATTCCAGTTGTCGATTACGCCTTAAATAATTTCTGCAAAATTTTCGTATCTCACAATTGTAATATTCAAAGAAAATAGTATAAATGGTTCAATAAATTTATTTTTTCTAAAAGACGAATATGAAATAATTAAATCGATATTTTATCGAAATTTAATTAAATGCTTAAATTATTAAAATAATCTCTTTTCAAAATATAGAAAATTTTGATTGAAAGTATTATTTTGCAGTATAATATGATATTTTTATTCATTTCATTACAAAATGTGTTAAAAAAAAAATAATTAATCAGAAATTAATTAAATAAGAATTTATTTATATTTTATAGAAAATGAGTAATAAATGTATTACATTAATAAAAATTTATCTGATAAATTTAATAAAAATTTCATTTTATATTTTTATAATATTGTTTTTCTAAAATAAGTTATCTTAAGGGACAAATCTTGATATTTATCGATCGTTATTTAACAAATAGAAATTAAAAATATAAATTTTAAGTTTAGAAATTCAATAATATGAAAAATTATGAATATTTAATATAATTTAATTGATTATTGATAGATTTAATAAAGATAAAACAACTTTTAGATATTTTAAATCCAATATAAATTAAATTTAATTTAAACAAATAAAAATTTAATTATTAATTAATATTTTGGAATACATATAGAAAATTGGAAACTTGAATTATTAATCTTATCAAGGAAGCAATGCATAGAATATTTCTCATCATCAAAACGATATATTTCATTCGTGTAATCACCGATTTTATTAAATATATGTGTATCGAAATAAAAAATGCATATCACATATTATCTTTAAAAATATATAACTTTTAATACGGATGAATTTCCAAAATTAAAACTTATTGGATTTTATTCGTTAAATATTTCCTTCAATAATAAATACAAAAATAATAAAAAAATATTTTTCTCTTTTTCTAAAATTTGTTCAAAAAAAAAAATAATTAATGAATAAAAATAATAATAATAATAATAATAATAATAATAATATAATTGTATTGTAATGAATAATAATGTAAAAAATAGTTAATCAATAAGTCAACAATTATAAATCAATATTTTAAATCTTAATATTAAAATTGAAAATATAATTTTAAATTATTTAAAAAACTTTCAAATCGTTATTAAATATTCATTAAATTAAATCGAAATGAAACGAGATGTATATCGACACGATCATAACGTCGTCTGTATGTATGTCGGTTTTCTGTCGCGACGCTACTCCTTTTCGCGCGTTCCATGAAAATGCGAGACGGAAGAAGAATTCAATTAACGCATGTTACTCGCCAGTTCTCTCGTGGAACTCGGTTATTGTCCGGATGCTGGGGAAATTTCATTATGCGGAATTCCATAGTCTGTGAACGCGTAACAACTTCTTAAGTACATACTCACCGCAACGAGCCAAACTCCGCGAATTCAATGATGAGATAGACAGGAGCTCCGGGTGTGGTGCAAGCGCCCAACAATCTGATCACGTTCGGATGTTGAGCCTCTTTTAATAGCTGATATTCTGATAATAAGTCTGCCAATTCGGAAGCGCACGCGTTTTCTTTTAATGTTTTCACTGCGACAGTTGTGGATCCTGGGATTCCCCCTATGTCAATCGCTTTGGCGCGTAACACCCTACCAAATTCTCCTTCGCCGAGTACTTGTTCGATGGTCAATCGCGATCGTGGGAACTCCCATTTTGGATCCGGCTGAGAAAACATTTCAATAAGACGATTTCAAAACTTTTTCTTATTTTTAAAATGATAAGTGATAAATATATATAAAAGTTGTTTGATTTTTTTTTGTTTTAATAGCATTATTATATTTGTATTATTAAAGATTATTAATGTGATATTACGTTTTTTTGTGACAAAAGTAAATTATCAATGATTTTAAAGAACATTTTCTCGTATTTACAAGAAAATATTTGTAGAAAAATTATAATTAAAATGGATGAAAGATAACAATAAATGTTAAAATAATAAAACTATTTTATAAAGAAATAAAAAGTAATTTGGATAACATTAATAAAAAATAATTTTTAACATGCCAAATTATTTAAAAATTTTATTTTATTAAGATAAATTATTATAAAATATTGTTATTATTAGTTTTTTATTTTTTTTATATCTTAATATTTATAATTTGTTATATGAAAGATCATTTTTTTCATTATTCTTTGAAAATTTAAATAATAATTTAATGAACTAAATATAAAAATTTTATATTTTTTGATATTTAAATACATTATTAGTTCAATGTACTGCAAAATATTTTTCTTGTTTTATCTTTATTTTATATATAAAATATAAAAATTAAAATTATATATAGTGTTTATCTAATTATACTATGTATAATGTATAAAGTAAACGAAAAAAGATTTTCTATTTCATTAAAATCCAAGAGAAAATATCGGAAATTGAACATTTCACAGAATAATTCCATCAACTTGTTAAGTATACAATTTTCTGGAGGTTATATTCTCTTCGTTTCCGGAATGTATAATAGAATATACGATGTCGCAGCTTGTTGCCTTTACATTACCATTTATAGAATTTTTGTGCGTCCGAAAGCCCTAGAACTAATCAAAGGATTTAATTAACTCTTTACTTTAATTAATTCTTATTTTCATCAGATGTAAATGTTTTACTAAGCGAAATTAATTTTCAATAATTTATTTATGCAAGATTTTTGATTATGTTTCATTTAAACGCATAATTTTTTAGAAAGAAGAAAAAGAAAATAGTAAGATTATTTTTTACAATTTTTTTATCTTATCTTTTTATAAAAATTTAAAAAATATATTTTGTAACTTTATATTATATTTTGTAACTTTATATTGAAAATTTCTTTGAAATCAATTGATGTAAAAATTTTTAGATTTTTTATTTAAAAACGACAAAAAATAATGATTTTTATTATTTTTACTATTTTTAATCATTTATAATTTATATTGTTGTTAACTGATATCGATGAAAAGTTTAATATCTATATAATTGATACTAATTAAAATATACTTTAAATTTTTATTAAAAATTAAAAAAAAATTGTAAAGAGTAATTTTCACTATTTTCTTCATGATTTATATGTCATCTAACGAATTAATTTTTTTAACCTCTCAAAATAAGTTAACACATTAAATCCAATTTTAAAAAAGCGATCATATTTTAATAAGAGTACTAATACTTTTTGGAATTATAGTGAAACTCTAATTATGTAAATAAAATTTTATATGAATCTTGATCATCTGAAGTTTAATTGAGCTTTTATAATCTGAATTACTGTTGAATGTTATATAAATTTCATTAAAATTATAATAAAATTAGAAATATACAAAATAAATAAAAAATTAATTCATTAATTTCTTCATTATTGTTTAATAATAAAATAAATAAATAAAATAATAAAATAAATCGCTATTCATGATCCAAATTCGAATTTATCGCTTAGCGATAGATATATTTGTCAATCGAAAAAAAAGTTTTAAAACAATCAAAAACAATGTATTAAAAACAATATCAAAATAATGATCATTATAATATCTATAATATAAATTCAAAATTCTCCAATGAAAAATAAGACATTATGCATTTATTATTTTACTTATTTTAAAAAAAATTGAAAAACAATATGTGTTAAAAACATACGCTACTCGTTGCAGCAAAAAGATTAAGCTTTAAATAACATGATTATATGAACATGTTTATTCTCCAACAAATTCTACTAATACATTCGTATAAATAAAGTTTTATTATAATGTCATTATGATCATATTTCTCTTTGATTAAAACAGAAATTAAAAATAACAAAGATAAATGTACAATCACGTAGCAAAAATCCACTTGTCTGGATTGGATTTTAGCACTCATGTAATAAAAAAAAATTTTATTATATAAGATTGTATAATTTAATAAAAATTGATTAAATTTATTTGGTTGATTAAATTTACAACCAACAATGATAAAGATTTTAATAAAGAAACCAATATCATTTAAAATCTTTTACATATTATTTATATTATAGAAGACTTATCAAAACGAATTCAAAAAATATAATGCAACACTTTTACTTATTATATTATTAAGTTTAAATAATAATGCTTAAAAGTAAAAATAATAATGCTTAAACTTGTGATTATTTATTTTATGAAATTATTAATAAACATAACAATTATTATTGAATATAAAAAATTAAAAAATTTTAATTTTAAAAATATTTTAATCGATGTTTAAAATATTTATTCCGAAAATTCTCTTCGTTTTCAAAAGTTTGAATATATTGCCACTAAACGCTGGATTTACAGTTTTACATGCTAATATTCTGTCTTAAAATAATGTAATGTAATAATTCTGTCTTTTAAATCTTTAATATTGTTAATTAATGATTGTTATACAATAGTTTGTACTTAAATACCTTTAGGGAACAATAAGTTTGAGAAATGTGTGCTGTTCATGCTAATAATATAATTTTAGAATATGTACTATTTTCATTACTGTAAACTTGTTATATATCGTATTGTGTAAATAAAAATATTATATATTTAATATATTTTTTAAATTTGTGTCAATGTTTCTTATATTATAATGAAACAAAAGAAAAATATATATATAATACAATTTGAAAAATTTTTCAAAGAATGTTAAAACAAATTATTTTTGAAATTTTTATTATCATTATTTGTTATTCATTCGTTTTAAATTTATTATATAAAATACATTTCTGTAAATAATTTTTTTGTTACATGAATGTATATACTAAAAAATCATATATTGAATGAAACAGTCTTTGTTTATATATGATCTTGTAATAAGCAAATTTTATTATTTTCTTTTTTTAACTTTATATTTAACACAGTAATATTGAATTTGATTTTTTTTTAAAAATTATTTTCTCTAGTAATTTTTCTCTTTTTATTTTCATCATATAGAATTTTTCAAAGCATTCTCCAATATAAAGATTTTTTTTTTTATATTTTTTTGGATTACGATATATATATAATAAATAATTAATTTATAATTAATAAAATTGTATAATCACAAAAATTGCTGTCTAACTATTCCATTCTAAAAATGAAATTATTATAAATATAAAAATATAAAGATTTATTATACATATAAAAAACAAAAAATTAAAAATTTAATTTTTTAGACTCGCTAATTTGTGTTTTATAAGAATTTGAATGAAGATTCATAAATAATATTATTAGATATATTGTAACAAATCTTTTTATTAATTAAACTTTTATAAAACTTATATTTTCCGAAAATATCAAATATCATTTTTGCAATTATTACATATATTATATATAGAAAATTCAATATGATATTATATATATAACAATGATATATATAATGATATATATATAATT